AAGTAAGCTCCCATAGCTGGATTCACAAACCCAGTGGATGAGATCACACCCAATACATTGTACTAAATCAAAACCAAACCAAACCAACCACATTTATATATTTGTTAATGTGGACTTTTGAATGTTATCTACTACTTGGGTCACAGGTGGCTTACAGCTCTAAAAATATAACAGTCTGCAACCTAAAACCAACCATATTGCAGAGCTGCTAAGTGGACTTCTCAGCAAAAGCTCTCTAGAAGAGCACGTTTACTTCCTTCCTAAAAGTTAACAAGGTTCTATATAAGGAAAATTCCCCCTCAATTTTGGGCAGTAAAAACCCAAACAGTTGAAGAATGTTTTGAAATTTTACTGAATCTCTGATTCCAGGGTGCCCTCAGTAGAAGATAAAAATTTCTGGTCAAACGATTGTGTTGGTTTACACATATTACATTTTTCTACACATTTTATGCAACTGAAGACATTGGCATAAATAATAACTCTACTAAGTTTTCAGTTGAACCTGTTTCACTGAATCCAGTTCTTTATAGCCTCTAGATATCAAATCAAGAATTCCACAATGTCATTTACTCAGCCTAGAGTGGAGATATAAAATTGGTATCAGTGTATTGATACCAGCAATTTCATGTGGGTGTTAAAGAGAAGTCCAGGCTCTGGGAAAGTCCATCAGAACCTCTCCTCTTTCACTAACATCAGTTGGACGTACTCTTTTATGACGCTGCTATTCTTAGATTAGAAACTTTTGTCACTTAAGTGTTTGGTTTTTCCAAGGGAAACCTTGCACCCTCCCAATGCAAGAAAAATAATAACTTTGATATGATGATAATGATGTTCACATGAGTTTGCAGTTCAAAAATTCATCAGAAATGGATGGTCTAAATTCTCAGGATGCTGGCACAGGAAACCATATACCATTTCAGACAAATGGTTGTCCAATCTCTTCTTAAAAACTTCCAGTGTTGGAGCATTCACAACTTCTGAAGGCAAGTTGTTCCACTGATTAATTGTTCTAAGAGTCAGGAAATGTCTCCTTAGTTCTAGGTTGCTTCTCTCCTTGATTAGTTTCCATTCTATGTTTCTTTACTCTTGTGGAATCCACGTGGTGCTATTTGTGGCCCAGCTTGCTCAAGACGTCCAAGAGACCTAAAGTAATGAGACCCATTGTGGGGCAAAATAAGAAAATGTCCAGAATTGGTGTTGCAGCTGCAGCACTTCTGGCTGTAACACATTGATTGTATCTTTCAAAGTCAACTTCTCTGATAGCACAGATGTGATCTGTCTGGCAGCTGTCATCGCAGAATGTGCTATCGTACTGAACTGAATTATATTGGTAGTACTTCTGGAGCTGGCTTTCATCTTTCATAAGCTTCTCCAGAAGCAGATGCATGGAGCGAACAGAACCATCCGGGATCTGGTATGCCTCTGTCAGGCTGTATTCTTTCTTCCACTCTGGAGTACCCATGTTAGCATGGGTGAGGTTTAAATAGTAAGTTACTATATCCTAAAAAAGGAACAGAAAACATTTGGAAGAAATACTAAGAAATCTATGTTAAAACTGATCAGAGCGAGCTACAGGTTTGGGCTGCAGAAATTCAGATAACTATGCAATAGCAAAAAAATACAGAGAACTCAACTCTTTGGTCCCATCTACTGGAGATTTAGATTTTTGCAGCCTGATGTGGTAAATTTAATAATGATGAAGATATGTAGGTAGGAGAAGAGCAGGCAGAACTGGGGGCAGAGTTAAACACATCATCAGCTTAGAGTCATTGCATTCCCACAAGTGCTCCAAGTCCAACCCCTCCTGAATTCTTAACTGGAGCCAATTTGTCCTGAACTTTAGTTGATCAGATTCTTGCATATAAGCTTAAATAAATCCTCTATGCTACAACCCAACTGGTGGTCCTGATTCTTTGCACCTGGCAGATAGCCATTATATTTCCTTTGCCCTCTTGTCAAGGCAGCTGAAAAGGAGATCCAAGCAACTCTCCACCTTTCTTCATTTGATTTTCCTGTGCTGCAGCAATCAGGACATGACTGGGTTCTCCATGGTAAGATGCTCAGTCAGCCAAGTAAACTAAAATTGCATTTCAGGATTTTTTGAATCAGGCCCTAATCCTTTTGACACTCAGCAGGATCCTCATGACTACTGCTCGGCTCTCTAGTCTACAGCATCTTCCCTGTCCTTTCCCAAGGCTGTCAATATGAATAGGACTCAACTGAGTCACAGTAGACCAGCTCAACAGAGACCAGCTAGAAATTTCTAGTGGGCAAAATAATTTGCCCTCAATGGCTACACGGATCACCTCTGGGTCAAGTGCCCTAATTTCTTGGAGACAAATATAAATGGAATTCTCTTTCTACCTTCACGAGCAGAGTCTCACGGTCATATTTAAAAACACGGATGCCAGGGTTGTTGGCTCCATTCTGCACACCTGGCAAGGTTGTTTTCCAAGGTGTAACTGCTGGAGCTAAAAATATGACACTGATCGGGAAATCTAAAAGAGAAAACAAACTACACCAGGAATTTTATCACATACACACACACACACACACATTTTATTTTGAGGACAGATTGATGTTGTCAGTTCCATGCCAAACCATAACAGGATATAATCCATGATGGAGCAAGGAGTAATATGCAGACTGGAATAGTGGCATTCAAGTCCCAATAATGTATCAATTGACAGGTAAGACAAGGAACTGCCTTTGGCAATGCAAAACTTGCAATCACTTTTGGGGCACCCTCTCTATCTTAAATGGGTAGGGATTGGAAAATAACGCACCCATTCAATTATGGCCCTCCTTTTGTGAAATATACTAATTGCTGGTGGATTCTGGCACAGAGCTCATCCCTGGGCAAATATTATTTTATTTGCCTAGGCTTTGTTTGGCCGCTAATGTAAGGTAACTGGAATTGTTGAATAACAAAATAACAGAGTTGGAAGGGACCTTGGAGGTCTTCTAGTCCAACCCCCTGCGCAAACAGGAGACCTGGCCTATACCATTTCAGACTCTCCAGTCTCTTTTTTTAAAGAGACTTTTTTTAAACTATATTTCTAAATTGTATGACGTTTTTGTCCACTTGTCAGGTTCTGGAACACACATGACATCGTTAGTCAGTTGCCAGGTTTTCAGCAGGATCCAGTCCTGATAGTTGCCTTCCTGTAAAGTACATTTGCCCCACAACCCTGTTGCTCTACAGACTGGAAGACCTTCAGAGAATTCCAGGGGACGTACCTGTGTTATCATAGAACATTCTAAAGCTATCTGTATGGTGATGCCCAAAAAATTGTGCTGCAATTACAGCATGATGTTTCTGAATGATTTCTGTATATCTTTGGTTGAAGTGTTTTCGGAACCAGGGTTTGCCTCGTTTCTTTTCAAAGACACCAGGAGGAATATGTCCAATAATATAGACCTGGGATAGATCAGACAAGGGATAGTTAGGGGGGGGGGAATGACACATTAAAGACTGGGATACAGTTTCCTAGCCTTCCCCTCCCAGGATCATCAGCTAGCCTGATCAATGCTTTGGAGGGGGTGGCCAAACTCAGGGCTGGCTCCAAATTTCTGCTTTTCCCAATATCCTCTCTCAAGCTATGTTCTCTCATCCTATATAGACCTGGAACTCCCGTTATAGAAATTTTAAGTAATTAATCTACAACTAGTTTGGTTCAATCTGAACAGGTTTGAAACAAACCCTTCTCTTAAACTGCACAAGGAAGTTGGACTTAATAGTTTCCAAGGCCCTTTGCTGATATTACAATCTATGATTCATACTCTCTTTGGCTAGATTCATACATACCACACTATGTCGTAAAGTGATTTAATATATTTATAAAATGTTTATTCAGTGTTTATTATTAGAAATCAAACCATGCTTATGGCTTAGCATGTAATGTAAACCCAACTAATTATAGCTTAAACTATGGTCTGTGATGTAACTACATATGTATCCTTTGATTCCCTCTTGAAATCATGACATTACTGAAATGTGTTGACATTCCAGAGGTATACCTGTGGCAGTAGTGTCATACTGCTGAATGTATTTTTGCAACTGAGTTGAGACATTATCCTAATTATAATTATGTCCCAAAAAGGGTTAGAAGTATTGTTTAAAGCAAGGAAATTAGGCAGCTGAAAGAAACCTTTTCTCCTGTTTCTGATGCCTTGGTCAACAGAGTTTGCAGCCACTGGAATTGGCCTCCTGGATCCTCCAGACTCACGGACCGATTATTACTTTCATAGTACAGATTGGTGTTGAGGACAATTATTCGCCTTCTTGGTCCAAGACCAGGCAGCAATTGACTGTAAAAAGCACCTGCAAAACAGTGAATACGTCAGTTTGGATCAGAAAATGTATGGTAGGAAGCAGCTAAGTTGATCAACTGGATTCTTTGAATGGGCTACTAATTCCAGTTCATTTTCTTATAGCCCCTTATATAGATTCAGAGGAAAGCATTTGTGTGTGTGTGTGTG